AGTCATTCAGGTTTTTTTTTTAAATGCACATTTTGATCCATAAGAACATTTCTTGATTGTATTAAGTACTTAGCAGATAATAAAATCGAATTATTTAAGTCGCATAATTGGACATCTCTGCCTCTGCTGCCTGTAGTTGAATAACATTTGTTTGTTTTTATTTTTTCCCCTTCACACCTACTTTTTTATTTAAGCTGCATTGTGACTAGCACAATAGCGTGACACAAATGTCAGCATTATGAATAATGCATACAAAAATTAGCTCATTCAGATATGACTCTTAATTATACAGTCGGTGCATTTTTCACCATTTTAACCAAGTTTAATCAACACATAAAAAAATCATTTTCCCCAGAACTTAAAGTGGAATTAATAAGTTTGTTCTCCTCCAGCTTCACAATTGACCAGCCGGAATAAAATGTGTAGGCCGTTGAAATTTCCTGTTTTTTAATTGACCTCAGGAATCGTTGCCCAAACAGTGTTGTGTGTGAGGAAATCACTGTAAACATAGGCGAGTCCATTAGTTTTCATTTGGATGCTTCAGTAAGAATGGTTGATTAAGTCTCAGCAATTGGCTTATAGGAGGTTATATTCTCTTCTCGTCCTGCCCTCTCACAGGGTTGTTGTTCAGGTTAATTCAATCTGGAAATTTTTAGCCGCGCTTCATTGTGACTTTACATCTGAATGCGTTCAGATATCTGTCTTTGTTTGGTCACTTGCGGTAATTATTTCTGATGAAATTGTTACTAAATAAATTTAACACAGGAGTGGCAGTGTCCGCTGGGACGTAAGTATGAGTAATTTCCTAGATGTAAAACAAGCTATCCCTCTCTGAGCCTCATCAATTCTCATTGAATACGGTTGAAGGGGATTTGCAGTTTAAAAGAAAATGTAAATTTGGTGACTTTGAGGTTGAGGTGAAAAGATAAGAGGAGGGGGAGCTAAAATAGAGGCAAAATGCAGCTTTCATTTTTTTCTGCAACAAGGTTCAGCCTTAAACAAATGGTTCTATTACCAGCTGGTCTCCTTCAGGCCCGGTCATTTATACCCATTAAACATGCGTCTTATCACCCATAAGACACTCTTGCATCTCTCCATCCACCAATTGTCTGTAATCAACCACTTAAAACAGGCGGACATTTTTTTGTGCCTTGCTTCGGTCTGACGGACAGGCAAACGAGCCGGAAGGAAGGAGGCGTGGGGGAGGAGAACGTAATATTTTCGGCAGAATGATGAATAGGCCAAGTTGAGTGGCTGACTAACAGAGATCTGTCTTAATCAGAAGTGATTTGTCAGAACAGGAGCTCTGCGGGGTCAGGGCGCAGGCGATGAATAAAACAGAGCCTGGCAGAGTGAAGAAAGGCCCCAGAAATCCACCTTGACTGCCCACCACCACTCATACTCATGCAAGAGGAAGGGCCTGGTGCACGGGCGAAGTCAGGATGGCCTTGGATTGTTCACTGTATGCCTGCCTAGTGTGTCTATGACTTCTTCAGGACCTTTTAAGTACTGCACGCACATATGTATATAATTAAATGTTCAGGTGTTGCATTTTAGCAGATGTTTAAAATAATTTCAATAATTATAGCTCAGGAAAATTTTCAGTGGCAACATACAATCACCGCAATTAGAGTTTCCTGTTCTGTTGTAAACGGCTTCTTCAAAAATAGCACTAATTACCTTGCGCCTCCGTTTGTTGTGACAGCATGTAAACTGTCACAGTATCACCCAGTCCCCAGATATACAGTACTTTGCTTCTGTGACCTTTTGTATTTGGCTTCTCTTTATTTTGAGCTATAGCTCAGTGCTAATGTGCTAGCCTCATGGCCTCGTAGGCTCAGCATTGTAAATATATCTCAGTGTGCATGCAGCTTTGATGAAGGTGATGAAAGTCTGGCATGCAGGCAGTTGTATACTTGAGAACTTTTTTTAAGCTTCTCTGGAAGTGCACCACCAAGACAGGTAACTTTATTCACCGGGGAATTACAGGTATACAAGTCAGTGACAGCACATGCGACTGTGCTTGCGTGTGTGCGAGAGAAAGACCGAAAGGAAGAGAGAAAGAGACACACAACGCGGGGAGAACAATGTCAGGAGAGAGAGAGCTTGGCAGAGTAAAAATGTATGGTCTCACATTGATCAGGCTCCTCTTTACTTGCCCTCAACCCTCTCATGGGCTTCCATACTCCGTTTGTTGGAGTGTGTGGCTTGTGTCCGGAAATAAGTGTGTGGGGTAACCTTCAAAAAGTGGTCTCAACTGCTTAATGAAAAGGAACTGTGCTGAGCTTCACAGCTCACCACTGTCAGGTCTTGTACCCTCTCAGCTCCAGGGACAGAGGAAGCGGGGAGGAAAAAAAAAAAAAACACAGCACAGAGAGGCAGACAGAAGTTCTCAGACAGTGTGTAACTGCTCTGAAAAGCTACTATAAAACAGATGATATTGCCAATTAAATGTTTCCATGGACTAAAAAAGTTTAAACCTGGGATGGTTGTGGTTCACTAGGAGTTTTCTGACTTACTTGGTTGTATTTTCATGACCTGAGTTGATTGAACAGGAAAAGGTAACAACATATATATAATAATTTAACACTGACATAAAAATGATAGCTTGTTAAATGTTATTATTTAACCTCTTACACTCCTTCTTTTGGTTACGTTGACAATATTAATTTCACTGAATTGTACGTTTCCTAATCATTTTCATCTTTAGGTTGCACACTGATTAGTAGACTAAGAAAATATTTTTCTCAATAGATCTCATTTGTACCTTCAACTATTTTGTTTCCACAGTAACATTAGAGGACAGAGTTAAATTAGGCTCTGTGCTGCGGTGTGGGTGTAATGTAATGGAATAATTGGCTTGTTAAACAGACCTTTGGGGATGGAGTGTTTTACCAAGTGAATCAGAACAAGGCCTCTGGGCCAGAGCTATTTAAATTGTTAATAGATGTTTAAGCAGGCTGGGAATATTTAACACACTACCAAGCAACAAGTCAGTAGCTTTAAAAGTAAATTATTTTCCATTTTCTAAAAATGTTTTAGCAGTTATTCCTGTTTAATAAGAAATAAATATGCAAGGAATAATTTAGTAAAAACAGAATGACTACAAACTAACCTCTAGTTCATTGTTTTTTATGCAAAAAATAAATAAAAAAATTCTTTGGGCTCTGACACACCAGGCTTCCTTCTGGACAGAAGGACCTGTGAAAGTGAAATAAAAATGCATATTGCAATAACATTAATCATTAATTAAACAATAACAATCTTTTAGTTAGCTCTATCTGTGTCTAGATAAAGGTTGAAAGTTGAATACTGTATAGTAATTATGTCTTCTCATTCCTTTGTACAGTATTGGTAAAACATTTTGTTGTGACACATATTTTAACAGATTGAGGCTAGAAATTACTTGGAAAACTCTGGAGGTCTCCTTAACAACTGCCTCATCCATCGTTTTACATTTTGCAAACCTTTCCAATAATGTAGTGAGGAGAAAAAAAAACACTGCTGCCAGAGTACTTGTCACAGCCATTTATTTTAAGAAAAGCCGCAGCCCTGACAGAGATGGAAAGCTTTGCTTATTTGTCTTTAACAGAAGACTTCCACTACAACTCCTCTCCTGTTTATTCCCTGTTCTACTCCGGTGGTGACGGGGAAGGGGCTTGTATTTTTATGGTTATTAATACCTGCACTCAGTCTTTTAATCTGCCCTATTTGTCACATGTGACTGTCTGACTGCACTGTTTAATCTGAGTATCCTTCAATCTGTCTCCTCCCAGATTAGAAATTAATGAAGGTAGGAAGAGACACATTTGAGTCGCTTACAGCGTAAGGGGTAAAAGAGCTGGAATGAATGGGAGACGAATGTCATTCATTTGACAGTGCTTTCCCTTTTTTCCACTTTCCCTGATTCGGTCTCTCTCCTTCTCCTTCTCTCTCCCCTGGTTTAACTGCCAGATGTAGCCCATTTTTGCACTGCTCCCCCTAAACAGGCGCTCAGCACGTGGGCCCTTTGGTGTGCGGCACCTGTGTAGTGTAATACACTCAGCAACTGCGTTGTTTATTTCGGATTTGTTTGGTGTGCTTGAAAGCCTGTCTTTGATCCGTGTAAAGATTCCTCACTTTTCCTTTTTTTCCCCCCTTGATTCATTCTCTGCCTCCCTCATTTTTAAACAGCAATACAGGAGCACCGTGGTTGCACTGATGACAGTATTGTGTCTGTGGAGTTTTATTTCTTGACATCTTTCTTTTTTTAAAAAAATCCTCAGCTCATAAGACCGAGAATTGACAGTGGCCACAAATGAGCTTGTCATGCCTAAAGTTGATGAATTGGCGAAGTAAGGCCCCTTGGCCAATGGATGCTGGAGTATTGCTGACCAAAAAATGCACCAGAAAATCTGTTGACTTCAACTTACTTATGAGAACGTAAACAAGACATTTGCCATACCAACAGGATTTCACCATCTGTGTGATTGTCCCTCTGGTGCTGCCACACAAAAAATTGGACCCATTGTCTTAGGTGCTGCCACACAAAAAATTGGACCCAGGGACGATTGTCTTAATGTACACTGGGACTACTGTGTAACTAACATATGGACTTTAACTGCTTATTTTTTATTTTATGTATTTATGCAGCCAGTCTTCTTATTAAGACACAATGTCTCATTCATGGTAAAATAAATCAAAGACGCTGTATAAAGTACACATAAAACACGCAAATTGTCATAAAAAAAACTTACAAATAATAAAAAACAAATATTAAGCCAATCGTTTAATATTGGTTTTTTATTTTTCAAACACTAAACTCAGAAACTTGGCATTCACATTTTTATTAAATGAGGGGTGTACACATATATGTGTTATATATGCCTTCTGTAGTTAGCTCTATACTCAATGCAAGATACTGGATTTATACTCATAGCAGAAAAAAATATTCTTCTCCTTATTTTGTGGTTAAATCTTAATCATTTCTTTTTCACACGGTCTCTGTGCCTTTTTTGCAGAGCAAGTGGGTCAGGAGATTTTGTCCAACCTGCACACTGACCGTGAGAAGATCCAGAGAGCCAGAGAAAGAGTGAGTACACACACCCCACCTGCACACACCCATCTGTCTATTTTAACAAGTGCCTGTGAGACTCTGGAGGTGTCACAACTGGTTAACAACGTTGGCAGCACCCAACATGTTCTGCATGGTATGCTGAGAAAACACACAAACGACGCGAGTATACACACACACACACACACACACACACACACACACACACACACACACACACACACACACACAAACACACGAACATGGCACATGTTGTTGGCGTATAATTAGGCTTGTTCACATGATTTATCAGCCGTATTATTTTGACAAGGCAGCTAATGTCTTCATACATTGATAACACTTTGTCACATACACAACAACACTATACAGTACTATTATGTATTTGAAATTATATTGTGAAAAAATGTGTATTCTGCCACGTAATTGAAACTAAAATGATCAGTGTTTCCAGTTGCCATCGCATCAGTTCCTTGATTCCGAATCCGATTTCCGCACAGTAATTTTATTTAGGTGTCACTCTGCCACCTTTCCTCACCTTCTCCTTCACTTCTCCACCTTCCTTGTCGGTTTCCCCTCTCTCAATCTCACTCCTCCTGAGAGACCCCCACCTTCCCTCCGACAAATCCTTAGCAGTGCCCCTCCTTACATCTAGCCAGCCATCAGACAGGTCGGCAGAGACAGAAAAGACCAAACACAGGAAGGGGGCCCAGCACTGTCGGCCCCCTCTACGCAGAATGCTTAAAGATCACAACATGGCAGTGGGCCCTGCACAGGCGATTTCAAAGGAAATCAAACATTTCCTTTCAAAACGGTCGACAGTGTCTACTGAGAGTACCTGCTCTCTCTTTCTTTGGCAGTCTCTCTCTCTCTCTCTCTTTCTTTCTGTCTTCTTTACTTCTGTACAAACATGTGCATGTGTACCTACACACACACACACACACACATGCTCGTGCACACAGAAGCTTGTAAATGCAGTTTGTGGGGCAACAGTAAAGTAAAAAGAATGGCAGTATACAGTAGAAGGCATGGGGACATATAATATGAATGTACACATACACACAAACACACCAAGCCCACACACACACACACACACTTCCTCTCAGCAGGAGGGGTGGCCTTTTGTTTAGCTTTTATGGTACAAATTGAAGTCAATCGAAGGTTTCGGCTCCAGTTCAAAGCAGAATATTTTCAACTCAGACGAGATTGAATGAAGCCACTTTATCCCCCCCTCTTTACTTCACCCTTGCTTCCCGACGATTACAAATTTATGTACACTGGAATTTATAATTCATGATTTTAAAATTATTGATTCGCTGGTCAAAATCTCTAGACAGAAGAAACAGCCTTTAAATGCACAAATTATGAATCCTTTCCCCTAAGAGTTTAATCTTTGCCTCTTCATTCTCTGATTACTGTAGACTCTCTAGAGAGCCTCAAAAAACTTCTCTCTGTATCATAGAATATTTTGGATTTTGTTTACTTTATCCACCTGAAGTTCAGGACCATGCAGTGGGACGACTTGAATTCACACTCAAGCTGCCGTCTTCCTGAAATGGTGCAGAGCGAGCACTACTTGCTCTGGCTTTCCTGGGAACTATTATAATTTATACTGTTCATTTCAGGTAATTAGGGTAGTGTGGAGTCATTTGAGATTATTAATGTAAGAGGATTAGTTGAGTAATTTAAGGGAGCAAGTGAGCAATTAATTTGCTTTTTATCCTGTTTAGCAAGCTTACAAACCTTCATGCACAGAAAAAAAAAATCACAAATGAATTTCACACTTTTTATCCTTGAAGATTAACCTTTAATTTTGTCATTATAATAAATTCCTACAATAGTAAGGAACATGAATCAAAGATCGCTTAGACTGATGTGTGTAAATCCTTTTTTGTTTTTCATTATATGGACTTTTACAAACCCAACGACTGACGTTCGCAGGTGCATGGATTTGTCCATGGAGAAATTATATAAAGATGAGGGGAAACATTTTTTTCCTCTCCCTTTTAGCCTCAACTGTCAACTACAGTTACTGTAGTTAACTTTAGACAGTCGGCTGCACTGCAACTGGATTTGGTTTCCATTTTAGGTTAAGGATGAAGAGCATGTGACTTGGAGGTTATGGAGGACCGAAAAGAGAGAATCATTCAGAGAGGTGTATTTTAGGAGAAAGTGTTGAGTATCTGGGGGAACAGATCTTCTGGTAGAAGCAGACATCAGGCAACTGCAGGACTTGTTGTCTTTGCCAGAGGGCCTAAACCCCAGGTCCCCCACTTCCTTCACTGTACCACATGTATCCTTGGCTCTGGCAACCTGCACCGCACCAGCCCAGGCTGCCAGAGGGGAGGAAGGAAAGATGGAAGAAGAAGAAGAAAGAGGCAGCATTGGAGGGGTGGCAAGAGAGGATGCAGTGTGTGCAGGCAAGAGGGACGAGTGCAACATGAGCCAGAACAAACAAGGAAAAGAGTGTTACTGGAGTGGAGCATACCAAGGCTGCGAAAACGAAGTCACTGGAAATGTATTAAATATAAACACATAATGAATCTAATTTTGATAAAAACTGAAACCTCCACATGTGCAGACAAACGATCTTCTGCTGAAAAGGATTTATTGTCCCACTGAAAGACGGAGATAAATGACTCCCCACTGATAGGAGGGAGAGAAATGAGCAACAGCTCTTTCCCACACTTTCTCATCATTCTCTGTAAATTTGACCACAGGTGGACAGTGGTGACAAACTCTCTGTGCAGAGCACTGTCAGCATTTTTTTGCAAGGAAACCTTCCCCCCAAAATTGTCTTTTGTAAAAGTCAGTACAGCAGGTAAAATGAGTGGGAGAAAAAAATCTACAACACCCTGAGGAAGAAAGGAAATGAAAAGAGACGAAGCAAAAAAAAGTAAATATCCCAGGTGCTGGATGGCAGTGAAACCAGGAAACCATTATAATAATCTGATTCTAATCGTTTGATTAATTAAACCAACTCATACAATCGGTTTAACCAGGTGAGAGTTTTTAACCTTCAGATCTGATGATTAGAAACAGTAACCCTGTCTTCCACTTTCTCCTTTGTCTTCCCAGCTGAGAGAAACGGACGCCAACCTGGGCAAGAGTTCTCGCATCCTTACCGGCATGCTGAGAAGGTAAGCGGCAGGTAGGGACATGGTTTCTGCACCTCTCTGTATGTGTTGTGCTGTGATGGTGCCGGCAGCTCAGTGCAAGTCATTATCTGTCTGTAATCACATCCGGATCACATTTTTTTAGTGAGATTTAAATACAGATTTAAACAGCTCAGAGCAAAGTGGGATGGAGATACAAAAAGGCACAATAATAAAAATAGAAATACATTTCAGCCTATCAGCTGGAGTAAATCCCTTTCAGTTTTTATACTGTTTATCATTTAGCAATTGAGCGAAATTCTTCCTTTAGTTGATATATATATATATATTTTTTTTGTCTTCCTCTGAATATTTTTTATCCTGGTGATCATTCTGGTTATGTGCTACATCAGTCTGTCACATGCTGTTTTTTCTGAGCATACAAACTCGGATAACAATAATTGATGATGCCTGAGTCGAGAGAGAAAGGAGAAGCCCTGCGTCGCTTCCTTGAGAAAATAGCTAAAGAAGACAAGTACACACTGTACACATCTCCATTCTTCTCTTCTTGCTGCTTTTTTTTTTTTTTTTTCGCTCTTTGTCTCTTTTGATTGCCTGTTCATGCACTGGGTCGCCCCACGACAATCAGACAAACACAAGCATTCACACGCAAATATTTCAATAGTCCCTGCATTATCTAATACACTCACTCCAAAAGAAGTACACACACACACACACAGAAGTCACACAAATGTGCACACACACTGTAATGGTCTTGTCACATCTCCATTTCATAAAGTGCTGTGTGCCTACTCCTGAACCGTGACGCCACGCTTTTGTTTCTCACTTTCTTCTTTCTTGTTGTGTTTTTCCCCGTCCTCTCCGTCAGCCACAGTGGATTTTGATTAAGAGTAATATGTAAATGACAGAGACTAAATGTAAAATCGCAGAGCCCGGAAGGAAGTGCCAATTGAAATAGATGCTTCAGTGCCCTTAGACAATTTAGAGGGCGGCTCAGAGGCGGCCGGCAGTTACTAGAGAGGAAAGGCCTGAGAAGGGCTGTGATGCCGACTGTAACCAATATTTCTGCATATGTCTCCATTTTGTCAAGTCTGATTATGGGAAGAGGAGGAGGCGGGGAATTGTGGGGGGGTCAGCTCGCCTGGCATGTCACCCAGAGCTGTCCAGAAATCATTCATCATTCCCTCCCCCTCCTCATTCCCCTCCCCTCTGCCCTCCTCTGGAGCTGAAGTAAATAACACACACTTATTTCAATATTATCATATTAATGTTAAAGTTCAGCTGTCACCTAATGGGAAGACTTAATCAGACGTAGCATTTTAGAAGGCAAGCTGCCATACTCCCCCCCCTCCACTCTCTAGCCCCCTCCATCGACGTGCCTTACCTCCTCTGGTTAGCGCCCCACTCAAATCAGGATTTATGAGGGCTTTACGAAGTGGGGAGAGGCTGTGAGCCCCTTCGACTGCCACCCGCCTTTCTGCTTGATAGGACCGGCACAACACACGACCCCCCGGTCCATTTTTCCATAACAAAAACTCGTTTTTTTTCCTCCACTGTTTAAATAAAAGAGAGTATGTTTTGTTGTAAGTTTGTGGGCTGGAAACGTCAAATCTGAAGTCATTTATAACCAGAGACAGAGAACTGAGAGCAAAAGCTAAGTTCAGCATGGTTCAATGATATCCCACCTCCAACCCCTTTTCAGGCAATTCTTCCTCATTTCTCTGCTCATTTAAGTATTTGCCAGTGTGGTTTTCTGCCTTTTGATTAATTGTTTATTTGTCTGCAGTGTCAGAGAATCTGTGATTCCTCTGCACAGGGAACGGGAGGTGGCTGCTGTGTCATTCTCTGTAACATCTAACTGCTGCAGCATTATTCAGTAAATGACTGGGTGAAGTAAGTCTCCGAGATTATATTTATTTGGAGAGAAAGATATTTTCGCTGTTTGATGATTTAGGTGCTTTCATTGAGTTTTGTCAAAATTTAAAGGAAACCATTGTCTGCGTAGGTCACATCAAATTTAGCTGAACTGGGGGTCCTCTAATTATATTGGAGTTCTCTTCCTGTGGTGCGATGTTACTCAATTTTCAGCGTATTACTTGCTTGTTCTTTTTGTTTTTATTGCACTAGATAAATAGTGCCGCTCTTTTTCTGTATTTTTTCTTTTCACGTCAACCTCAGCTTTAAGTGTGTCCAAGGTCTGAAGGATATCACCCCAGCTGGGAAACAATTAGACACTTATTAGGCCGACTGTCAGCGTTCAAGAAAAGCAATTAACACAGCGACTCCGGGAATATCACTTATTGTTACAAAACATTCCAGAAGAATCACATCTGAAATAGCTGTTGCTTTCTGTGAGAATTAATCTTCACAAATTTCTTTTAAAAGTCATTACTTTCAGTAAGGATAATTAGTATAAAGAGTGTGTCTGGGTGCCGCTGTTTGGCTGGGCTGCAGGTTGAGAACACCTTTCTGGAGGGCAGCCTTTGACACATGTCAGCTACACTTATACACGGTGAATATCAATGGTCCAGTGGCGGGCATCCAGGGCATGCACTCATGGTAAATTTTTAATTCAGTCGTCTAAAATCCTTTGGGTTTTAATTAAACCCTGACAGGAAAGGTGGTCCTAATTTTAAATTAATATCTGTGATCATTAATCTATAATCATTTTGAATCAAGCATGTAAAATACCAGAGAGATGCACAATGAGGTTGTACCGCAAAAGCAACAGTACATTTATTGGCCTTTATTCCCACATTTGAAACTGTAAGTATAAGTAAGTAACAAAACTACTCAATACTTTAGTCATCTATCTTCTTAATGTGACTTATGCACTTATTATAATAAGACAAGAAATAAAGTAGTTTCTACCAAAATTATTTTGTTGATTTGGACTTTTCACAATAAAGTGCCTAAATCTGATTGGTTATAATCTGATTTCAGGGATTAGAAAAGTATGTGTTGGCACAGAATACGTCACTCCAGTGTCATTTCTGTATTGTTCGGGGGTCTGTGGCTTCCATTCCATTCCAACTTCATTTGTCCTAACTACGATAAACCCATATGTCCCACACTTCTTACCTGACAGTTTATGATGCCTTTATTGACATACATGAGATTAAACGTGAAGTGCAGGCTGCATCTTGAACCAGAAAATTTCCAAATGTTTTAATGAACACACAGATACACAGCAGCCTGCAGGATACGTTAGCAGGAACTGATTTGACAGGAGTCGGGTGCAGGCTAAGAGAAGTGCTGAGCTGAGTGACGTGGTGCGACTTTGAGAAAACAAGATGGTTTCTTCATAAGAAAGCTGGAAATGCCACTTTAGCATTAACCCATTTTGTAAATACAAAATGGCCCAGTAACTTAAAAGCCTCCCCACTGCTGTAGTGAACTTCTCAAGCATGGCATGGTCGGAATTGTTGGAAATCCAACGCTGCTCCAGACCCAGTTAGGACCGCTGAGGTTCCTGGCGGAAGTGAAGGGCAATGAAGCAGGGAGAGCCGGGGGCTGGAGGTGGTGGTGGATGTATATTTCGAAGCAGAGGGGTTGTCTGCTCTCTTTGGCAGCTGATCCCACATGCAGGTGGTCGACTCAGTCGCCAGGCAGATCAAAAAGTCAAGGCCCCGGGTGGACCGCTCTTTGAAATGGGAATGGGGCCTAGATATCAGACAGAAAACATAAGCAAGCTTCTAGCCACAGAACAGCTCCATATTCATGGCTGGAACTGGCAGTAGAAATGGGCGGGCAGGATGGACACAGCCTCAGCCTTCAGAGGACCACTCATGCACACCATGGACATTGATTAAGTGATCTGCCCGCAAGCAGTGGTGAGGATGTTACCCTGGCTGAAGCTCGAAATAATGCAGCCGCATGTAAGCAAGACGCTATTTTTTTAACATTTGTTTTGGCCGCATGTAAGCAAGACGCTATTTTTTGTTTTTCCAGGCAATCATGTCGTAACTTTCAAACTCTACTGAACTTGAAGTAGATCCTATTCATGTGACTAATTCAGTATTTGTAGTCTGGGTGTTTTTGACTAAATCTAAGAGATTCAACAGGTGACTCTCAGTTTTTCCTCCTTTTTTTTAATCTCCGTCCAGGTTGCTACATGGATAATTCCATGTTCTGTATTCAAAAACAAGTTCCTTTGCAATTTGTCCAGCCTGACATTGTTACCACCTTAGTCAGTCGGCCCTGCGTGTTGCTGCCATCCCTCTGGGTCAGCCCTATCAGTGGCCTTTTCTTCACTCACCAGGAAAGCAGTCTGTGATGTTTCATGTCCACGCTTTTTGTTCTGGCTAAAGACCAAAGGGTCAAAGCCTAAACTGCCTTTATCTGCTTTGTCACAGAGAACAGATATACATTTGACCCACTATACACTCCTTGAGTCTATTATTATTATTATTATTATTTAGAGGTCATTTTGAAACAGGGTCAGGCAAGGTGGCACTGACGACACAACATTACACAGTTAGAGTGACTGGTGGCCGTATTCATGTACTTCCAGCAGTGTTGGTACATTACTCAGGTACTAGTTTATTACAAGTTATGGTGAAATAAAAGGATTTTACATTTCATGTACAATTTTAACAATGTTAAATAAATTGGTCTACTGTGGTCCAATCCAGGTCAAAACAGATGAACTGCTTAAAGGTGCTCATATTTTAACAGTAATCGTGGCATGACATTTGCTCTAGATGAGCTTTGTTTATGACACTTGGTTTGGTAATAGGTCAGTTCATAGACGTATGACGTAAAATGTCCTCATTGACATATTTCACTGCGGACGAGATAATGCATGAGATACAGTATGGATAGATTTCTACACGGTAGTCGTTTAAACTATTTGACTAAACTCTACT